TCCCCCCCCCCCCCCTCATCACTTTTCTAATGGCCCGCCCCTTAGTATTTTGAACTAGTGGTGTGGTGCTATCTTGAATTCCAAAACTTAAGTTAGTCAAAGACTGGTCTGGCAAACTTTGAATACCTCGAACATTTAAAGTTGCTGTCAAGTCCGTAATGTAAACAAACGCTTTGTTTACATTTCGAACTGCTATATTTGTAAAATATGATATACTAACTGAATATAATAACACTGTTCTGGTTTGGTATGCTCGTAAATGAATATAAACCAGAGTTTCAATTCAGAAAAGTTCAAAAGATGCGAAATTTGGGCAATGTTTACATCTGTAGGTCCCCCTTTGTTATGAGCAGAACCGATGCGCAGAACGGACTTGACAGCATCTTTAAAAGCAAGATAAATTTAACTTTTTGCACCGCTGTTGACCACGTGCACACCTCTGTACACCCCCACCTATAAATCCGCCCATAGCCTATCGAAGGGAGGATGGCTGTGAAACTCATTAGAATAACAATATAACTCATTATCTATGTTGGTCAACGTTTATTCATAAATCTGGTTCTTCACCGTCACATATATGTGTATTGTATTCTTGCCCAACTAACCAATAGCAATGTTTTAGGAAAGTCACCTATCCGTGACTCGAACAATAGGGAAACTGGAAATTGCTATTGGTGGATTTGGTAAAAATACAATACACACGTGACGGTGAAGGACCAGATTTATGAATAAACGTTGACCAACATCATAATGAGTTATATTGTTATTCTAATGAGTTTCACAGCCATCTTCCCTTCGATAGGCTAGCTATGATCCGCCACAGCTGTGTTGGGACACCCTGAATAAGGCAAGGTTGTACCACATACAACTTACTGCATGTGCTACCTACTCAAACTTGTTTTTATGTTCATAGATAATGTGTTTCATAGCAACCGTTATATTCGGCGTGGATGCATTCTTCAACTTCCAGTTATTCCGAGGCAAAGAAACACCATCAGCAGGGCCGCCCGCTGTACCCACATAAACTGGATGGATATTACAAAAACTTTTTACTCTTGTAACTTTAGATACCGGTAGAAATTAAGTTAGTTTTCTAGATTATATATATGCACTTGTAGTCCATTCATTGTATGTTAATTATGCATAATTAATTAGCTAGCCTGAAAGATGTGTATTTGATTTCTTTAAACAGTTATGTATTGTTAGGATGCTTTTATTATACTGAAAGATTAAAACATTGAAATGTGTGTTCTTATTTACCAGGTACTATATATAGTATAGAAACAAAAGCCATGGTGGCCATGATGGTGTTCCAGACAAAAGAATCTAATAAAATTCTTTTGAATTTTAAACGTCGCTTTTTCACGTTGTTTGAATTGTCTAGAATCTTTCACGAGGGCAGACAGTACCCCAAAAATGGCAGATTTTGTACTTCATGAGAAAGGCTAATTGGAACTAAAAACCAGTAAGCCAACAATTTTAAAAAGTATAAAATTCGAAGATTAGGATCTTGAAACTGAAGATATGAATCAAAACAAAACGAGAATGAGCTAACTTTTTTGATATTTCGATTTTATTCCAAAACCATAACAGGGCAGGCCGTCTACAACTTTTGCCTAAAACTGTCGCATGCAGCCTGCTTACAACTTGAGTGGCAAGATGGCGTATATACACAAGGTGTATAATATACATGGTCTTTTATCGAAATATCACAAACTCATTCTCGTCTTGTCTTGACTCATAATTTGAGTTTCAAGTCTTTTCTGTTGTCAAAACTGCTTTCAGATGATGCACGAAATGGTGTTTCTACGTGTATTCTACAAGCCGTTAGCCTACGTACAGGAGAATTTACGGCTGTACACAGGCTAACAAGCCGTAGGAAATCAAAACATTTTCTGGGATAACGGACAACCCCCCCCCCCCCCCCCCCCCCCCCCCCCCCCCCCCCCCCC